GAGAGAGAGAGAGAGAGAGAGAGAGAGAGAGAGAGAGAGAGAGAGAGAGAGAGAGAGAGAGAGATCAGAGAGAGAGAGGAGAAGAGAGAGAGAGAGAGATGAGACGAGAGAGAGAGAGAGAGAGAGAGAGGGAGAGAGAATCACCTATACCCCTTCTGATTACTATCTACATAATGGAGAGTCCAAATTTATACTGTAGTGTATCCTCACCTAGGAGCCTAGATAACTACAAATATAAAAAAAATATATATATTCCTGTATCCACAAATAGTTATATACTCTACAGTACATGCAGCCACTACATTTACCAAAACAGTAATAGGATGCATTCTGAAATAATAACTGAAATAATAATAGCAATAACAACAACAACAGCCAAAACAATAACAATAATAATGTCCAAATAAATATCATACATAGAGGTAAGTCATGCTCAAAAAAAGAAGCAATTAGAGGATCATATCAGTCAGAAGCTCAAATTATATTCCAACTAAACAATGGGCAAAAGAGCATGTCAATAATGAGGGTAAAATTAATGAGCAAGTAAAACAAAGATATATAACTGGATATTTATAAAATATGTTTAAAATAGTAACAAACCTGATCTAGTTTTCGCAGGCCAGGGTGGGGGTTCCCCTCTCGCAGGCAGGTGCTGCTGTTGCATCTGCGTTGGTGTGTATGAAGAGTTCTGACTGCTAGGTGAGGCAGGTCCCATGGGTTGTGCGATGCTCCCTGTCTCTTGAAGTCTTACGACAGTACCCTCCTGCTGCAGGGGAACTATCTGCTGTGGGTGGGGTGCTTGGGATGCTGAGGGAAGGGGTGACTGTGGGGGCCGCTGCAAGGGCACGGCTTGAGTTTGGATGGCTATGCGATGCTGGACTTGTTGTTGCTGTTGCTGCTGCTGCTGCTGCTGCTGCTGCTGCTGCCTGCTGCTGCTGCTGCTGCTGTGTGTTGTTGTTGTTGTTGTTGTTGCTGCTGCTGTTGTTTGTTGCTGCTTGCTGTTGTTGTTGCTGCTGTTGTTCTGCTGCTGTTGTTGCTGCTGTTGTTCTGCTGCTGTTGTTGCTGCTGCTGTTGTTGCTGCTGTTGTGTTGTTGTTGTTGTTGTTGTTGTTGTTGTTGTTGTTGTTGTTGTTGTTGTTGCTGCTGTTGTTGTTGTGATTGTTGTTGCTGCTGTGTTATTTGCTGCTGGAGGGTTTGCTGTTGTTGCTGCTGTGAAGGAAGAGTTTGCTGTTGGAGGGTTTGTTGTTGCTGCTGCTGTGAAGGAAGAGTTTGCTGCTGTACATGTTGCTGCTGATGCTGAAGATTCTGTGGGTGCAAGTGCGAGGGCCCTGGCTGCGGAGTCGTAGCCGGCTGTAGACTAGCTTCATCTTCGGATAAACTCTGCTGCTGCTCCTGAAGGCCTGAAACTGTAACGGCAGTGGCAGTGGCAGTAGCAGCAGCAGCAGCAGCCCCCCCCACCACTAGCCCTACTCCTGAGGGCCCCGCACCAGAAGGCCCAGCAGTGGCCAGTCCTCCGCTGTCCTCAGTTGGGTGGATCTCCAGCTCAGAAGGACTTCTTTTAGATGTCTCCTCTTTAATTAACTCAGCCTTGACATCACTATAACTGTGGGAGGGAAGGAATGCATGATTACATGTGGTCTAGTCTTAACATTATAATAATAATTGTAATATTTGCAAGAAGGAAAAGAAGAAAAGAAGAAAAAAAGAAGCACCTATCATTAGACCCACCTTACAACTGTGTTCGTGCAGACAATAAACTCAGGCTTTGAATTCCACTGGTGATACGTTATGTAATACTGCGTCTGTAGCCAAATCCACTGCTGTCCCTTTGTCAGGAACCGATAGTAACACGACGTCCCCTTGCCTGTCTTCATCACTGTAATTATAAGTGTTGAGTTTTCAAGTTGAATATGAGAAATATGGAATATGAAAATAGAAGGGGTTTATTATAAAACACAAGAACATACCATATACAAAAGAGATAAAACACATAGAAATCAGAAATACAGTATACATAAAGAACTGAAAAGTATGAGATGAGGAATGTAAATTTCAAGAGTACAAAACACATGAGGAATACAAAATGTATAAAGAGTACAAATTATGCAAGAAATACAAACTACATATGGAATTTGAATACTTGGGGATATAAAACACACATAAGGAAAAGGGAATGAATGAGGAATACAACACATATAAGAACAAGCAGAAGAATAAAGAAGAGGAGAGAAGAACACAAACAAGAGAAGGGAAACTAGAAAGCTGATGAAGGTGAAGGTGAAGATAAAAATGGAGATTAAGACAGAGAACAACAACAATAGCAGCAACAAAAAGAGAGTGATAGTAAACAAAGATGGAGAAAACGAAATGATGATGAAAAAGATAAAAGGAAAAGTTCTCCTGTACAAAATGCATACACCACAAACTTAGCCTTCTTCCTCTTGGAGGCTTTTATCTACTCACATTGCTCGTGACATGACGCCACCTTCTCTAGGTCTTCC